AAATAATCAACTTCTTGTGCAAATGCTGGAGACTCCTGTTGTGTTCTTTCTCGAGGGGTCAGGTGAAGTTTTCTTTTACTTTCCAAGGGGTAATATTAAATTTTGTTCTTTGAAAATATGCTTGGATTTCTTCCAAATCCTGCTGGTGGACTTCCAGTTTGCCATTAAACTACTGTTGGTGAACTTCTAGGTTTGCAATTAAACTATTTAATTAACTTAGCATTATATTTCTCATCATATTGCATAAGCATGATCTTATCACTACATTTTCGTATAGTAGATAAATACGAGGCATTTATTATATAAGCCGCTAAAAGTTAAAGATTTTTTGCTTGCAGGTCTATTGTTGACTCTTGCTGGCATAAGAGGTGTAGGAGTTTCTGTAAGTGTTGGTTTGATTCAGTGCATCTCATAAAAATACATCATTAAGATTTGAACATTAATTTATGAAATCATAATGTTCTTCTTAACTATTCTAAAGATCGATGTATGGGGTCCCTCAGATCTCAAGTATCTGGTTGATGCAATCAAATCAATGTATGAGGATTTATATTTGTATTTCAGCTAAAATTGATTTGTTTAAATCACATATTTGTGTATTATTTATCAATATTTGTTTTGTCGTCTCAGGATCTTGTGCCTGACATTGATGAAACCGTTTCGCTGGGTAATCTTCTCAAGGTATGAACAGTTATCTAAATCCATTAATTTCCTAAAATGACTATAAAAACAACCCTGAAAGGTTTGAGAAAATCATAATTTCCATATTCATTTTGAAAATGACAAAGGCATCTCAAATTTAATTCCATAAAGTATCAGAAGTTCTCTATGGCCAAAGTTTGGTCTAGCACTACAACCCAATGAGATAATGCGAAAACGAATTCTTTATGTTTTTAGGTTTATTTTGAACGTTTATATATTAAATATTTTTCTTGCTCCACCTTTCATTTATTTTTTTATTTTTATTTTTTTTTTGTTTCAATATTTGGCATTTGATTCCATTCATTTTGCACGGATTGATTATCAAGATAGAGCAAACAGGATGCAGATAAATATGTTGAACTTATATGGCA